TATCAAAACTCGCAATGCCATTTAGATGGATAAATCGCCGATAGATGGCGAACCAGTATTATTAGCAAAACTCGCAAGTGTCAAGATGTTCTTTTGGAATTATATACTTGGAAACTATATTTTCGAGACGTTTTCTGTACCAACCAAACAAACCAAACTTGATATTTTACAAAATAATGATATACTAGTTGCAATTGAACCCGCGCTCCGTCACTTACACAATATTCGAACCTAAAGTTGCTTCATTTATGTAGTTCATCATCGTCTATACATATAACCTTGCGTGCGAATGATTATTGTGCGTCAAACGTATAAATTTTTGGGCCCTTGGCAAGCGCGTGTGACCCTCGACTATATCCCGTCGCTCCTAAAAAAATTTATACAAATGTTTACGCACGCGTGTGTGTGTGTATACGCGAGTGCGGGGTAATTTCAATCTATCAAAGCTACATCATCAGCATATACATACGTATGCGCAAGGTATAAACGAGATGCTGCATGTGGGCTTGGTATTTATGCGTAGCGTACGAGGAGAAACTTATACGAGCTTTCGAGGCTGCAGAGACGACGACTCTTCGGCGCGGGTCGAAAGGTTACTTTTTATTGGCCACATTCGTCACAGATCTTATCAGCTGCCCATATGATTTCCATAGCTGCGTACGTATGTGTGTGTGTGCTGCGGATTATTGCTGGCGTACATAATATGCAGAAAAGGAGAAGGAGAGAAGAAAGAAAAAACATTAAGCTTACGAGTGTCTGCGCGTCCGTCTCTCTTTCTTGTCATGTGAGAGAGAAACGAAAGACGACATATGTTCTGGCTGCTAGTTACATTCATATAATATGTATGCGCAATACCTGTCCTCGTATCTCAATCGACATCATCGCTACAGCAGCAGCAGCAGCCACAGCATCAAACAGACAGTTGGACAGACGGACGACTACTATAGGCATCTTATCTGCAACTGCAGCAGAGACCAGAAGCAGCAACAACACACATACACACACATACACGCGGAGGAGGAGGAGGAGGATGCGAGTTCATAGCCTCGGCAGCAGCAGCGAGCAGTCCATAAAACGTCGTATATATACCTCAGACAGGCACACACGTACGTTATAACGTATATCAGTGCACTTCTCTCTCTCTCTCGGGGGCTCGAGCTGAAAAACGAGCTCTCTCTCTCTCCCGAGAGTCGCGCAAAGGTGGACCCCGCTGCTACTGCAGTGCACCCAGATGAAGAAGAAGCAGAAGAAGAAGAGGAGAGAATTGAGAGAGGACGGGTAATGAAGGTTGGGTCCGCACACACGTCTCCTTCTATTATATATACCTATATATATGCTGCTGCAGCTTGATGCTCAATGAAAGGGCGGAGAAACGGAGGAAAAAGCGCTTCGCACAGCACAGACACGAAGCGAGAGGATCCGCGCATTCCTTCACGTGTCCTCGCGCGCGTACACCTACTTTTATATATAAATACATATAAAGCCAACAATAACAGCGGCTGCTGTGGAAGCTCGACGGGAGCAGCAGCAACGATTTCTTCTTCGTTTATTATACCTATACCTGCATACATATACAGAACACAGTATATATAAGCCCGTATATAAGCCATATGTAATTAAACATTAAATTATAAAGTTACTGCTGCTGCTGCTGCTGTATCGATGTGCGAGTATACGTATTTTATTTTATATATAGGTACGCACAAAGTACACGTATACGTACGTACGGTAGGGCGACGAGAGTAATTACTACCGCACGCACTTATAATGTTGCCGAGCTAACTACTATAATACACACATACTACCGAATCGCAGTCGAGGGATATTGGACTCGTATATGTATACGATTTACAGAGGGAAAAAGAAAATACAACATCGATAAAAGTACAGAGAAGAGAGAGATGCTTTAATTCAATACTCGCGTCTGCCAATGGTCGATCTCTGCTGCTGTTGCTGTCTTATACAAACACGCTCCTTGGCTTTTATGACGCGATTACTGCCCTTTGTCGTTAATAATATTGTTGTGCCTCGTACACAATTCGCTCTTCTTTTCTTCACTAATCACACGTCGACGCGGATTCGACGATCCGAGTATAGTTGCAATACGTATATTCGTGTATTTTTCTTTCTTCCCCCTCGAAAAAGCTGTATACATTATCTTCGTGTAATGTATAATACGAGCAATTAATACGAGCGCATACATAAAGCTCGTTCGGGAATCGGCGAGCTTGTATAATCCAGGCTGCGCGTGTTGTTATGTTCATACGTATGCACGGCTCGAGACATCGATTAAACCGAGCGCGAACAAGATTCGATACACGACCGTACGCTGTTGCGCTATGATTAATAAGTCGAAAATGAGCAAAAAAAGGAAGGAAGGAAGGAAGAGAGGTTATCGCCTCGAGATTTCGTGCATACGCCGTTCGAGTGAAAATTTGCATTTGACACGACCTCCCTCCCACGCAAGCACACACAGAGAACTGGAATTCTCGGCGGTGCGCACGGGAATTTATTTAGGACTTTAACGCGCTGTTGGTACGTACATGTGTACGTATTATACGGGGGGACGTATATAATGTAATACCCCTTATATATGCCGCCAACGCCGCGACAACAACGACCATACAACTAACCAACCAAGCAACGACGATCCGAGCTTGTATGGTAATAGCGACTCCTTTTTCGCTCGCGCCTATATACCCTCCTGTATAAGAGGAGAAAGAGCGAGTCTTATTCTTCTTCTTTCTTTCGCGCGCGCAAGAGCTTGGTTCTCGTTCGTAATTCTTCTTAATCCAGATCAACCTTTGACTCGGGTACAGAGAGAGAGACTCGCTTGACTCGTTTTAAAGTGCGCGCGTGTAGGTACCTATATCCTCTCTAGACTCGTGCGTGTGCGTGTTGTAATTCGATATGTGTTGTGTCGAGCCTAGAGGAGGTGTCTGCGCGCAGGTCTCGCGAGAGAGGAATGTTTGACCCGCAAGTGCTGTGTGTATGTGTGCGACGTCTTTTTGGCTAGGACGAGTAATCCACACTCTCCTTTTCTCTCTCTCTCTCTCTCTCTCTTGCTCGCTCGTGTGTACTCGTACATGTATATGCAGGAGAGAGGAAATTAAATCGAAGATAAGTAAATTTTCAGTCGTCGACGACGACCACGAGTACGGCTAACGTAAAAAATCCATTAGATTGCGCATAATATAAGGTCTTATCGGGGCTGTGCGCGTGTGTGTGTCTTGCTGCGTGCACGTCTTATAGAACTATACGCAATTATTCGGGCGCCCCGTGACAAGACATCGCAGAGAAAGAGAGAGAGAGAGTAAGAGACAGAGTGGAATGTCAGGTCGCTGTTCATCCCTAATTGATTAACTCTGTTGCAGTTCTTTCTGCTCCGACGAGTGACCGATCTTTTTTCGTTTTTATTTTGTTTTTCTCTTTTTGCGTTGACCTCATATAAGCCTGCAGCTCGTATATATAGGAGGATTATAGACGCACTCGCCGTGTGCAGCAGTATTATATACCTGCTGTAACGTGTGCGTGTGTGCGTGCGCCGTGTCACGTCACCATTACCCGACTCTTATCGACGATAGACTCGTTTGAAATTTTAATTGGTTCACGAGAGAGCGATCGATCCGAGAGACAGAGAGAGACGAAGGATCCTTTGATGTTTTTTCGTTGTTTTCTTCCCTTCGTCTCTCTCTCTCTCTCTCCTCTTACACCGGTTGACTCTTAATTGCTTTTAGCATTACGTAAAATTGTTTCGCAGAAAATAAATTATCGGCTTTGGCCGCGGAAAGCTTAAAACTCTCCCATCTTGACCGGATGACTCGCGTCGTCGGCCGATCGTGCGCGCCGCGGCTCTTTAAAACTCGCCAAAATGTCTTCTCTCTCGTGTATGTATGTGTGTGTGAGTGAGTAGCGCATTCCGCGCATGAACTTTTTGCTTTATCTCTTCGGCCTCACTGTGTGTGTGTGTGTGTGTAAAACTAAAATGTATTACCCTAGTGCTATGCTGTGGTGCGGGCGAGTAGTATAAATGGTATAGTAGTAGTGCGAGGCAAAGGTCATCCGAGATATAGACAAAAGACAAAAGCAGTATACACATATAAAATGTATATATACAGGTATGTGTAAAAAGAGCGACCGCTGCTGCAGTGGAGGAGGAGGCGGTGTGTGTGTGTGTAACACGTGTGCGGCGGCGCGGTATCTTGTATCTGTGCGCAGGCTGCAGTTGCTTATACATAAGCCGGCCGGACTGTGTCTCCTCGTGCTCCTTTTTCGCGTCTCCTTCTCTCTCGCTCGCTCGGCTTCATGAATGTACTTATACGTGAGCTATTATGTATTATATATACGTGTGTTTATATCCACCTACGTTCCTCGAATAAACCTCGTCGGCTCTCGCGTTTTTCTGCGTGGCTTGTAATCTATGTGTATGCTGCTGCTTACTGCATAGGCGTAAGCTCGGATCAACGCCCCGCAGGAATCATTGTAAATTTTTTATGCCTTTTTTTTCTTTCAACTAGAGGGGTACGCAGTGATTTTCGGTGTTGGAATGAAAATGAGGTTGAGCTTGCGATATGATGTTAGTATTGAAGTGTATAATACCGATCGAAAAATTGGCACTGATCAAAATATACATTTTTGATCGGAAATTCAGCTAGAAACTCAAATTGATTTTAAAAAAATTGATAATATAAATTATAAAATTTAAGAGAAAAGTTCGAGTTTAGAGTACTAGTACTAGTATTAGTATAAGTGGCTCAAGACACCGGTGACATTCCCTTCCCTGCCTTCGGGGGTGGCGATCGATGTACGGTAGGGGCATCATGTTGGTAAACCCATTGTTCTTCGGATTGATGTACAGCTCGAAAATGGGACAGGCCACGGAATCGATCCACAGAACAAGCCGATGTCAAGACACTTTTGTCTACTTGACTTTTGATTGTTCAACTTTACAAGTTGGAATAGAAAAGTGACTGGAATTTTTGTCACTCTACTCTCACGAGTCAAGTGACAGCCAAGCCAACAACGACGTCATCGTCTATCCGACCATCGCTTCCCTGACAGACAACCTCGGTCACCATACCAAAAATTCATATAATTGGGCAATTTTTTAGTAAGTAGTAGTCTCCTTGCCGTAATTTGCTAAATGTCCCTCTGAATACAAGGCCCTGATGTTTTTTTTTCGTTGTCATTTTGGCCACGTGATTGGTTAGAAGTTGCAGCGCCTTAATGTTCTCGCAAGTCTTTTAGAACAATCTTTCGTTCAAAAACGTTACCTCAGTCTCGTTGTCGAAGCTTCCAATGGTTGTTGACATGATCAGGTATGAGTCGATGTCGATGACCCCTTTCACGATTTCCTCCTTCATTGTGGACATGCTTATGTCATGATCCTTGAAAATAATGGAGCTTGGCCGGGCCCTGTCATACAACGAATTATTTATAAGATGTCCGATTGATTGTTAATAGAAACTATTCTATTTGATGGTTTATCACCTTTCAAGATGCACACGCTGCCTAACGTGTCGAGACTTTCTGGGTGCGTTTCCACCTCTGTCGGTGGTTCCTGAGTCCTGTTCAATGAAAGACTCATTATATGACCCAAGTAACTCAGATAAATTCAAAATTTTTAAATAAGATACCTTTCCTTCTGGAGTGTATGGAGCTGCAAAGGAATCTCGAGTTTCCGGTTCTCGATTATTCGTGGAAGATTTTTTGGGGGAACTTGTGGAGGTGACGCCTCTCGCACGTCAACTCTATTGTCCAAAAAGTATTGGCTGTATTCAACGCTATCTTCCAATAACGAACACCAATTTGAACGCTTCTTTACTAATTCTTCGGAACCAGATTCAGGTAATGCACACTCGAAATCTTGCGATGTATCATACACGTCTTGGATGGTTTTGGTTGTTTTACATTTTTTTTCAATCATTTCTTTTGTATTTAAAAAATTTTAAATGACATGTACGCCGAATGACAAGTTCGCGAATGAACTCTGAGATTAGACTGATTTTAGTCCGATTTCAGGATTTGTTCAAGAAGTTTTCGACAATCGCTACTATCGGCTCTTAAGCGAATAGTCCGTATACGAGTGTAGGATACATGCCACGTCGAGCGCGCGATGCTTCCCAAGCAGTCGAATAGTTCTGATCCTTCACCTAGATGGCGTTTTTGGCACCCCTAAGTGTTTTAAAGTACGTAGATTATTAAATACTTTTATGATTTTTGCTACAGACCAGATGTTGACTTGTTCACCGTTTAATACATATGTTGCTAGTCCCCCGACAACATTGGCATCTAGCTTGTAACCCTTATAACGATGGAACAGCCCATATGTACACACGTATGCCGTATCGTATGTACACATACACATGTACAGCGCATATATATATGATAATAAAATAAAACGACATCATTTGTTGCATCGAGCCATATAGCTCGGCTGTATGCGCGCGCCTCGGTGGTGGTGCAGTGCAGCGGGCAGATCGATTCGCCGGAGTAAATCGTTAATGTATCTTGACATCGGTCTCGTAAACTAACCGATTTTGCGCTCTCTCTCTCGAATAGCTCCGATGGATATATGCGTGTGCATACGTACATATACACACGTGTATCGTCGTAACAAGTCGGATCTCTTACATATATACACACACACGGATACGTACATACGTATACATGTATGCGCGCACACGCAAAGGAATAAACACGGCTAAAGTCACGCAGAGGAGAGAATATAAGAAAAAGGAGAAGAGATCGGCTCGAGAGCCAAGCCGAGTCGGGAGAAGCTCGCAGAGAGAGAGAGAGAGGTGATAACTCGCCATTAGGATTCTTGTGTATATAAATTCCAGGATGTGTAAGGATTCGCCTCGCTTTATATACCATCATTAGCCTACTGTGTACAATACGAGATAAGAAATTACGATCGGCTTAAAAAGCTCTTCACCTCCAACAAAAAAAAAGCTCATTTTTCTCACGGCACTTTTTTTTCCTCCTTTAGCGGCGGTGGCGGCTACACTCACCTTCATCTCGTTACATATATTACGCGAAAAATTGTGCGCGTGTGTGTGTGTGTGTGTGCCTGAGCACGTGCAGAAAGCTGTGCTTATACATACGGCACAGGTATGAAATTTCTCCTCTGGCAGAGCGAGTAAGATCTATCCGCGCGGGCGAGTCATGTACATGCATGCAGGTACATACATATAGTGGTTGTGACCATAGAGATACCGAGGCGGTTAACCGCGAAGGATCTGCTTCACGGAGAGGATCATTCGGAACTACGAAAGAGAGAGAGAGAGAGAGAGAGAGAGAGAAAAAGAGGCCCACAAGCCACACACCAAGTGCATAGCAAGACGCACTACTACAACGCACGCACACGCAGGAACGTCGACATGTTATAGGTTGCGGCTTTCGAGTATACGCACTTTTCTCCTGGAAAGTCCGAAATTCGTTTGAAAATTTCTGCCCGCTATACAGTACATATACAGTACTGTAGTGCAGTGCAACTTTATGTGTATGCAATAGCCGCGCGCGCGTGCATTCTCTCTCGCTCTCCGCCGCCGCAAGAGCAAGCTCGAATAAGTATCTATCCTTCCTGTGTATGTGTGTGTTGCAGTTTATACACCCGAGGCGACGTGTTGCAGCTATGCAGCTCAGAGTAGAACTCTCCGTCCAGGCGCGATGCTCTCGATTCGCGACACAACTCGGATCTGTGTGTGTGTACTTGTGTGTATGTGTGAGCGCATGTTATGTAGCCTGCATGACCAAGATAAAGACAGAGAGAGAGAGAGAGAAAAAGAGCAAAGATAGTGTCTGCAGTTTATGTAGCAGGGCGTGGCAGCAGAGCACATATAGAGGCCGCGCAGAGCTATAAGGTCATGAAGCAGGTAGCCACTGCTCCGTGGCACGTACTACTGCAGCTATTATTATATATATACCTATCAGGTGCTGCAGTTGCGCTTTTACGAGCTCCGGAACGCGGAGAGTTAGAGCGAGAGAGCGAATAAACCCGAGAAAGAGAGAGAGAACCTTCCTTACATATACTCTCGGACGGACAGATTTCATATATAAAACTGCGCCAGCCTCTCTTGCTGCTGCAGTATATAATACAGTATTTCTCTTTCTCTCTCTTAGGAGCTCCCTCGCAATTTAATTCAAAGCGACAAGCGGAATTCGCTACCATACATACCGTACAGTAGTACGTGCACCTTGTGTGCGTATATATACAGGCGCGCGCGCGGCCGATTCAACCCATGCGTGTGCCGATAAAATTTGACAACGAAAAAGTATAATAATAACAACAACGGTATGATAATGTTTACGAGTGCTGTCGCGTCGTTTAATCCATCCGCGACGAAGCGAGCCTTACCTTTATACCTCATACCTTCTTCTTCTTCATCCTCTTCTTCTTTCGGCCAAAACTTTATACCGAGAGAGAGAGAGAAACCGCTCGTGATCGTTACAGCCCTTATAACGTTGCCGCCGACCGCCACTGCCTGCAGCGTGTCCGAGAGGATGATGCATCGTTCAGCTGCCCAAGAAGCGCACATACTACGTAGTATATATGCACGCGTGCGTGAATTTCTGCAGCAGCAGCACCTACCTACCTATCTCTCTCTCTCTCTCTCTCTCTCCTATATATATGCATCCGCTATACGTCTTCTCTCTCCGTACCTTGTATGACGTTGCTGCTGCTCCCGCCACTGTTATTGTTATTATTATAATTCGTCGCAGTAGTCATTTTTTTTTCATCCATATGGGCTTCCAGCAGCAGCAGCAACAGCCACTCGACCACTATATGAGCAATTCTCCAAATGAAACGCATTTTTTGAGGTAGAATCG